CTCAGTTCCCCGTATATCGTGAACTTTAGTTTCTCTCGTCAGTTTGTTGTTTTCTGTACAAGACAATCCAGAAAGTTTAGTTTGTATCTAGCATATTGGTCACAACGAACGAACTTTTTCACAGAATGAGTTTGATAAGGAGTCTCTTACGGGTATGAGAGAACCTTTGTAATCCATTTTGCGCATTTATATGACATAGAGAATTCGACATATCTAAGATAGACAGGTCTCAGAGGGTTACCAAAGTTATGGATTTTTGGAAGGCCATAATACAGCGGCGGAGTATGTTGAAACAGTGGAAAAGATTTGTAGTCCAGGAGAATTTTTTGGTGTAATGTCAATGTTTGTTGAGTGAAGATTAGTCTTCCAGGAATTCATCAGCATTTTTAGTATTTTCTCTGTTTACAATTTTCACATTTTTCCAATCAAAAAAAGGGGGGTAATCTCTCAGTATATGACTGCAGGAATTGATATGGAAGGAATACATATATCATACCTTCTGACGGCTAGTTTATATTCTTGAATATTAAGTCAAAGGGGACGCGCCAATTTTGGCTAAATAAAGCGTTTTTCGCAGCTAACGGAATTTATCCTGTTCGTAAGGAAACCAAAATGAGACAAGCATATCATTACATTATTATCATTATTATTCTGTTGGGTTTCGGATGGAACACAGGGGTTCACAACTTCAGTAACACACCTCCATTTCACCGCGTTATCTGCAATCACTTCCAACTGACTCTCCACAACTGCTCATAAGCTTTCCTTTCCTCTCCATATGATCTTATTCATATAACCCTGTGACAGCCAACTTTTTTTCATCTAATTCACCTTCCACTCGAGGATCTCATAATGAACGATGTCACTTTAAGGTTGTCTTATGAGCATATATATATATGCACCATGCACATGGTCCGAGGTTCGATCTCCTGTCGACGCACACCTGATATCTATGGTCGGCCTGCAAAATTTGGGCTACCGATAATATCACATGCTGAAAATTCCATAATTGTACCAAAAATACAGTGTGGAATCAAGCTGTAATCAAAAAATAAAATTATATATGTATATATATGTATATATATATATATATATATGTCCAACCCACTTTCATTCCTTTCCTGAATATATATGTTGCCTGATAGGTTCTTAGTTGGTACCTCACTTCCAGCATATGTGATTTCTGGCCATCTGATTCTTAGTATCGAGTGGAGGTAGGCTGATGAAGTAAGTAGTAACTGAATCTTCTTGATGTCATATGCATGCAGTAGCCTTCCAGACCGATTCCCGAGTAATGAAGGTCTATCATGCTTTTTCCCCTCTCATCTTCATTGATGTTACCGTCTCCCATGGATAAGTGAAAGAAGTGATACACCCGTTAAAACGGTGATTGATCCTTGTTGTTGTTGTTGTGATTATTGATTAGGTATCCTCATTTCACTTCTGTTTTCTCTATGTTTATACTTGAAGCCATGTCTTTGCTACACACACCCGTCTTCTTCATGTTTGTTAGTTTTTTACCAGTAGATCTTTGAGACTGGATACTCCAATGTCTTTTTGGTCCAACGTATACCCGTCTATCTTGCTCTCCACAGTCCACCCTGACTTACACCATCTCTGGCGTAGGCGCGACATCCGGTTATCAACCAAGGGACGTGTGTACTGCTCAGCACTTCGCTCCGTCCTTCTCTATGGCTCTGAAACATGGCCAATACGAGTTGAAGACATGAAAAGGTTGACTGCTTTCGATCATAGATGTCTGCGATCTCTGTCTCACGTTAGGTGGTTTAATAAGGTAAGCAATGTTGACGTTAGGCGTAGAGTGTTGGGCAAAGAGGAAACATCAATCGACGAGGCTATAAAGTTACATAGATTGAGATGGCTAGGCCACGTGGTGCGCATGCCTAACCATCGCCTCCCCCGACGGGCATTGCTAGCTGATATAGGTTCAGACCGGAAAAGAGTAAGTGGTGGCCAAACAAAAACATGGCCTCATCAATCCATGAAATCCTTGACAGTTAAACTGAGTCGGTCAGGTAGGGAGATGCAGACTTCCGTCCGGGTTGGGGCCCTCGGGACTCTAGGAATCAATGGCTGGAGACAATAGGTTACATGGCTCAAAGTCGTTGTCAATGGCTAGCGCAGATGTATTCAGTCTCTATAATCTTTCATATTCCTTTCTACCATTACCCATTCTGTTTCACTCTTATACTTGTCAGACTGTATTGATTCTCTTCACTCATCTTCTTGTCTACCTCTGTGTGCTATTTGGAAGGTGGCAACTCGAACTGGTGCACTTCGGTGCCAAGTTTTATGTTGAATCCAGACAGACAGACAGACAGTCCACCCACTAGAATCAGGAATATCATCAGTGATAGTAGACACAGACTTGTTTCACTGCTTATTTTCAATACAAACGCGCTTTGCTGAGAATCCTGTGAAATATGATATCATTATCAAATAGCTGTACGCTTTGCTAGTAGTTTTCACCATTAGACATATTCTCAACTTCAACCTGAACAATATTACGTTATTAAAACATCCTGGATATATAAGCGAATGAATTTATTTTTTTTCTTTTTAATATTTTTGATTACAGCTTGATTCCACACCGTATTTTTGGTACAAGTATGGAATTTTCAGCGTGTGATATTATCGGTAGCCCAAATTTAGCAAGCCAACCAACACTCATATCAGGTGTGCGTCGGTCGGGAATCGAACTCCGAACCACGTGCATAGTCGACGAGCGACCTTACTACTGTGCCATTGACGCACACATAATGTATACTAATATATACATAAATTAAGTAATTCAGAAGAAATATATTACATGCAACATAGTTTAATTCAATTTTTAGATTTTTCCCGTAGATTGATTGAACCGAAGTGTTCGGTGTCAAGTTGAGGTGTCAGCTTCTTGTGCAGACGCTTCAACGATGTCTGATAATTTAACTTGAAGTAAATTGGTGGATGGTGACTAGCAGTGGAGTCTAGGATGCAATTTAGGGCGAAGTTAAACTTTCGACACAACTAACTACCAATCAGCGAACTATACAATGAGATTTACGAACGCAGTTCAATGTTTTATAGCGCTTGACTCATTTCTAATGCGTGACCTTACAAAGCTACTGTTGCAATTCGAGGAGGTTATTGTTTTCCAGTATTTCCTGGATTTGAGTTGCGCCGGAAATAGCGAATTTGTTTGTGTGGTGGTATCACGACTTTAAAAAGCTATACCAAATCAACTGATGGGTTTGTTCATCGTTGTGCTATATGTTTGAAGCCTACTAACGCTAGAGAGAGTAAGCTGATAATTTTAATATTTCGCAGGAACTTTTTTCGCTAGATCGCTTCTCTCCCTAAGGATAGCAGATAGAAAAGCAACTACTCTTATACTTATTATTACCAGACTTGTTAAGCGGGGGTCAATTATACACACCGACGAGTGGAAAGGCTACAATTCACTGTCATCTCTGGGATATATTCATCATAGAGTCAACCATTCAAGTGATTTTGTGGATCCCGTTACGAGGACACATACAAATTCTATTCAAGGATTTTGGGGCAGTTTGAAAAATAGGATAAGGGCTATAAATGGATCTCAAAAGGATCTCATTTATGGTCATTTGGATGAATATATGTACAGGATATGGTGGTAACTTCTCCATTGACAGTCCCATGCTAAACTGGGAGATTTTCTCTCACATGTTCGAGAAAGATATCCCATGTAACTTTTTTATTTTCTATTTAATGCTTTTTTCTACAAATATACATTTCCATTCATCATATATGCCTCTTTAATGTGACTGGTCCGTTCAAGGTCGTTTGCTGATTGGTTGTTAGTGGTGTCTAAAGTTTAACTTTGCCCAATTCGGTCCAATCAATTAATGGGAAGGGGCAAACTGAATTAAACAATTACTGATTTCGAACGTGGCAACTCGAACTGCTGCACTTCGGTGCCAAGTTCTATGTTGAATCCAGACAGACAGATACATCTGTTGCACCAAAAACAGGTGGCTCTCGTAGCCCAATCGGTCTAGTGGATAACGCTTCGGCATTTGAGACTACAGAGACTGGGTTCATCAATCACTGATCGTTTGGCGCAGGCACATTCGGGTGACGAGTCCCAAATAGGACGAAATGCGTATCGTGGATTCCACTGCTAGTCACCGCCAACCAGCTGACTTCAAGTAAAACATAGTTGTTCGGATTTAATAGCCATAAGTTAATCCAGAGGGGACAGAGAAACCAATAGTGAAAAAAACACGACTGATTCGAAGATAACCGTGATAACCAAATAAATGCAAAAACTCAGACAAAGACAGAGATGTGGCTGGCTTATTGGTTTCAGTTACTCGATGGTGTCTTGGATTTGAATCCTTCTGTAGTTACTTCAATGTGGACAACAAACCTTCACATTCAATAAGTGTAGCCTATAGTTGGGCCGGTACACGAAAACTTTGTTCTAGGTTAACTAAGTACTAACCAACTAGCTACTTGCTGACGAGAAAACAAACAACACAACGAAGACGACAGCGGGGGTGCCATCTGTATAACAATTTGGACGGAAGTGAAAATGCACAAATCTAAAGTCTATGATGCTTGGATCACGAGTTACTATTATTATGTTATAGCAATTGTAAACAGTTTTTAAAACCTACTAAGTAGCTAAGAGTGTGCGTCGGTAGCATAGCGGTTAGGACGCTCGCCAACCATGCACATGGTCTTGGGTTCGATCCCCGGCCGCCGACGCACTCCTTTACTTCGCCTAATCAGTAGTAAAAAGCCGGTAAAGAGGAAAGGTTAGGCATGAGGCTAGCAACCCCATCCTGTAAAATAAACACACTGCTACAGAAACTTCAAGCCATTAGCTTGAAGCCCCCTTTGTTCCACTGGAGAACGTGAAGAAAAAAAAGGAGCTAAGAAGCCAACAAACAAACACAGATGTGGCAGTTTAAATGAATACGATATTAAGGTGTGTAACACAATACACAACTTACTGTTGACAAAAGTGTATTCACATCAGCTAAACAACTGACAGGCCTATGATTACTAGTGTTTGAATTGTGTGACTGACCAGTACCAGTCGACTCTCGATGAGTTACAGCTTGACGTCCTCGACCACGACCACGTCCACCACCGCGTCCAGTGACTCCTCCTCCTCCATCAGGTTCATGTCCATTGCCACGACCTCGATGGTTGGAATAATTATGCTAAATAGTTTAATGAAATAAAAGAAAAGGATGGTAAGAATAATCAACAGACTTACTCTGTAGCTATGGACAAATTTATGTTAAGAAACGGTAGTGACGTCGAAATGATAACGCCTCTTTGGCGAGAAAGTTATCACTTATCCAAATATATTTTGTTAGCACGGGGTTGCGCTGGCGATGGATACGACACGTGTTATGCACACTGAAGCATCGGCTTCTTCATCGAACAAGCTTAGCTGACATAGGATTTATCTGAAAAGACATAAGAGCAGTTAGATGAAAGCAAGATATCAACCAATGAAGTCTTCGACTGTTGGTTCCGGTGCAAGTAGAAGGGTGTAGCCTGTCTATCTGGGGTTCACAAGACGCTATAAGAATCAATGGTTAGAGAGAGTGTTGGTTAGCAAGAAATCAGACCCGACCGATAGCTGATATCTTGACGTGATGGTCGGGCTTATATATCGTAATGACCCAACAAATTACACTGGCTGGAATTATTATTCCTGCAGGTTCCTGCTATACCAGGAAGATTGTTAGGATAATGATTAGACTAAAAGCAGTTACCGGCATAGTGTAAGAATTTTTCTTTTTTACACTATGCTACGGGTCTGTGGGCGAAGTCGTACCGCTGGGGAACAAGGGAGAGTAACAGCAGGAAGGCGGTTCCTTCAGATGACCAGCATGTCAGCCAGCTATGCTGTCTCTTCACTCTGGTGAGAGGTGATTAGAAAAGAACGACCGCAAAATTGTACATCCCCACATAGCCTACGGTGGTCCCTAACCGGCGGTGACTTATATTTTTCTATATTTCTGATTACAGCTTGATTCCACACTGTAGTTTCGGTACAAGTATGGAATTTTCAGCATGGATATCGGTAGCCCAAATTTTGCAGGCCGACTGTAGATATCAGATGTTCGTCAACAGGGAATCGAACCCCGGACCATGTGGATGGTCGGCGAGCGTCCTAACCACTGTGCCACCGACACACGTCGATAGGGGTACTGTAAGTGGAATAGGCACACAATAATTACTTATTTTCACAACCAAGGTGGTAATTTGAAATGTACTTTTCTAAAAAGGGATCATATGCAATTTCATGTAATAATAAAGTGAGTTAAGTTGGTGGTGTGACTTAATGATTTGAGTGCTTAGTTCTCAACCACCAATGTGTCACAGGTTCGATCGAGTCCAGCTTAACTTAACCATTTAACCTGGGCAAATGGGGGCGAAGGTGAATTGGTTTTTGTAAGTGGATATAGCCAAATTAGACAATACCTTGTGTTCTCTACATCCCTAACGAATTCCAGGAAGATAGACGGTTTGATTACTGTATAAATAATGGATAGATTAAGTTCACCTAGACCTTCATATATAAGAAGAAAGCTTATCAGGATAATTGATCTTTTGGAAAAATTTGGATTTTGAGATCAATCAAAGAACAGAATCAGAAACATAAACAGTTTTCAGTAAAAAAAAAACACGATCTTTAATAATCCATTTAACAATCCTGAGGTTTTTAATCCCCCGCCTTCATTCTGATTGAACAATCAAGGTTAGTGGTCAGGTTAATCGGGGGATTGGTTGTCAGAAGTTTAACTACGGCCCAACTGGATAGTATTATTAGCTCTCTCACAAGATAAGTTCGTTTCTTAACCTGTAGCATGAAAAATCTGCCCATGGTTAAGGAATCAGGATGTTTCAAAGTTGCAAGTAGCAGACTAACAGATTTTCGTCGTCGTGTGATACTAACAAAGCAGTAAGGATAATGAACACCAAAAAAATATAAGTAAGAACTTGCATGGTAAACGTCAGATTGTTCACTACCGCTATAAGACCGCTGACGCCAACCAGCACAACCACGTGACCAATCCCCATGTCCCCCACGTTTAATCTCATTGGTAGGACGTAATGGCCCGGTAACCTGTGGAGAAGAATTCGGAGTATCAACATCGCCGCCGCCGCCACCACCAGTTGGCCCACTAGGACGTCGTTGGTGAGGATAATGTGTCACGTGACCACCAGATTGTGCATTCACAGCATGACGTGTTTTACGATGCCAGCCAGTGTTGTTAGAATCATTCTCTTGAACAGTTAAATCTTCATTGACATGACTTCTGGAATAAAGAAATATATACGTAGGATAATAATATAAGGATTTATTGATTCCAGTTTCCAGTAGCTACACAGCCACTTTATCTGTTAAAATTAGAGTAGTTTATTTTGTTTTTTAAGAGTTCGACCACGGGTTGATATCAGTTAGAAAACCAACTGAAAATTAGCACTGGAGTACTGCCAAACAGCTGTTTCATCAGCCTAGTTTGAGAATCATCGGCAGTACGCACCCACCGACAGGGTTGGAACTCAGGACCTTCCGGTTATAAGACAAACTCGTATACCATTCAGCGTACCATGGAATAATCTCGTTGACTTGGAATATGCAGACGATATAGTCCTTCTAGGCGATGACGCTGACAAAATGCAGTCTTTTGAACACCTTGAGCTGCAAACTACGACTGTTTGGCATGCAATTCGCTCCTGCTGTCAAATGTAAAATGATGCAACAGGACTGGACTGGACCGGACTACACTGATTCCTAACTTAGAAATAGGGGGGGTGAAGTGGTAGAGTACGTTGACCGCCTCACTTATTTGGGAAGTTGCATCAGCCAGTGCCAACGGGTTGATCTCTGGCGAAATCTCAGCACGGATAAAGCAAGGGCTAGTTTCGCATGTGCCAGTTTACGCCGTCTCTGGCACAGACGTGATATCCGACTATCGACTAAAGGGTGGGTGTACTGCTCAGCAGTCCGCTCCGTCCTCCTTTATGGCTGTGAGACCTGGCCATTGGGAATGGGAGACATGAAAAGCCTGGCTGGCTAGCTGTCTTTGGTTATATGTGCCCTACCTCCCGTGTTAGGTGGTGGTAAAATAAGCTGACCAATACTGAGGTTAGGCGTCGAGTGCTAGGTAGGTGGGACGAGAAATCAATCGACGAGGCTGTGAAATTGCATAGACTAAGATGGTTAGTACATGTATTACATATGCTTAGTCATTGCCTTCCTCGACCGATGGGCAGTGTTAACTGACATAAGGTCAGGTTGGAAAAGAGCCAGTGGTGGTCAAACCGAAACATGGCTTCATTAGTCAATGAAATCCACAACAGTTAGTTTGAGCCACGTAAGCTGCATAAAACGGTTTTCTCAAAAGCTTTCTATAGAATAGGTGTGTATGTCCCTGTAATGGGACCCACCAAATCACTAGAATGGTTCACTCTGTGGTGAATATATCCATGAGATGACAGCGAGTTATAACCTTTCCATTCATCAGTATGTACTATGGATCCCTGTTTCACCAGTCGAGTGACAATAGGTTTCTAAGGTAGTAGAATTTCTGTCTGGTATTCTCTCTACGAATTCTTTCCGCAGGGAGGTGTCATATAAACCGATCACCCAAACATTGTTGCCTCGCTCACGACCACTTTTTTTTCCTTCACGTTCCCCAGTGGAACATAGGGCCTCAAGCCAGTGGCTTGAAGTTTCTGTAGCAGTGTTTAATTTTACAGGATGGGGTTGCTAGCCTCATGCCCAACCTTATAGCTTTACCAGCATTATTTCTGGCTTGGCGAGGTAAAGGAGTGCGTCGGCCGGGAATCGAAACCCGGACCATGTGCATGGTCGGCTAGCATCCTAACCTCTGTGCCACCGACGCGCACGACCACGGTTGTAATTTTTCTTCAGTAACACAGTTTCGTCCACGTGTACGACGGTACCTTCCTCGCCTACGACGAAGTAATTCTCTCCATTTTCCATAAGGCGATGTCTATGCAGTACTGATACCAATGACCTGTTGACACGAGGCTATTTTCGGTTTCAGAAGCTGCGCCTCTCATAGGCTGTTTAAAAGCCCAGTAATTACAAATATATACAAAATCTGGGTTAGGGGAAGATGAGACGTAGTGAAAACTGTTTCCACGACATATTAGGATTATCAGCTTACGCTCCCGAATACTAATTCGTCTCAAGCAAATTCCACAGTGATGGACATACCCATCAGTTATGTACTCGTCGCTAAATTATTGTTATGGACTGGTCGAGAAACTAATAGTCCTGACGCAAGAAGGCGGAAATCAGAAGACCACTAGGTTTGCGATGATACTTCTATTTTCCAAACACAAGGAGAAGCAATAAGTGGTATCACACCAAAAGTAAGTAAGTAATCACACAAATTGTGAGAGCGAAATATATATGACAAGGGTGTGAACAATCATTAGACAGTCTTAACATGAATGGCTAATTATAATGAAGTATCGATCCATATATACATAGCGAAATATAGCAGACATGTCAACAAACACCATATATGGATATATGTCACCAAGCAACGGACTGTCAACAAACACTCATATTATATATAATATAATATAAGGGGAATATACATTGTTAAAGGAGACAAGTTCATACAAGTGAAATGGTCACAGACTAAGAGAGCAAACAGAAAGAGAGACCAACATACACACACACATATATATATATATGTGGATACATATCACCTCCCCTTTTGAGAAGATTGATGATTAGTAGGATGTTTACCTGGGGGTTTATCTGGAACCTTTGAGCTTGTTGTTGACGTCTGTCGTTTCGTCTGCCTGTTGGGTTTGCGGCTTCGGCTTCGTCCGGAATTGTCTGACATTTTATGCTTCTTGACTGCATTGCATAGCGAATTTAGTGGGACATCAGCCAGATGCAAACGATCGAACCAATCAAGTCCCAAAAGATTTAAATCACTCTTGGTGACGTAGCAAATTCCTGTGAATTTAATGTTACGGAAGGAAACAGAACATTTGAGTTCACCAATTAGTTTGAGCCGCCCACCACAGGCGCTGACAGCAGTCTGAGAAGTATTTGCGATTGGTGGTCTGCCAATATCATTCCAAAGTTTCTCTGATATAACAGTAATATCAGAGGCGGTATCTAGCTGCAGACGTGCATCATGACCATTCATCTGAAGATCAAGATATTTCCGCATACCTGGTGTTGTGACTTGACAGGTTGCGCGTAGACTCAATGATCTCCTTGGAGATTTAGGACCAACAGTTTGTCGAGCTTTCTCTGGATTATGATATCTGGGTTTGCGTGGCTGACAAAAACCATTTTTATGACCGATGATTTTGCACTTGCTGCAACGATGATTTTTGTATGGGCAAGACTTTACAAAGTGCCACGCGCCACAATGCCAGCATGGTGATGGTGGGGTCTTCTTTGCAGTATTTTGTGAAGTTGGACGAGTATGTGTAGATTTCCGCGGAACATTAGGAGAAGGTGGGTCAGGAGTAGATGATGAGAGATTTTTGCTCTTTCGTAATGCATGAATATCAGAGCTTCTCGAAGGTGTTGATTCGACCAGGTGTGTGTCTTTCTGCAAATTAATCAGCCGTTGATATTCATCAGCTATGTCATGTAATGTTAACTTGGAATTTTGTTCTAGCTGATTGAGCAGTCGAGTTCGGATATCTGTGAAACGAGGAGATTGAAGACTGCATATGAGAATCAAGGCTTTGAATTGATCATCTGTTAAGGACCTGAGTCGAAATCTCTCACATTCTCGGTTGACTGTGCCAACGTGAGTAAGAAAATCATCATTTTCATTCATTGTCAGCTTGAGGAAACGATAACGTATGCTGAATAATGAGGAGTGGTCTCCAAAATGTTCACGCAGCAGCTTTATTGTATCATCGAAACACTTGTCACGTGGTTTCTGGGGTAAAATTAGGTTGCAGTACCGTTCATATTCTGCCGGACCCAATTTACGTAACAACACTCGCACCTTCCAGGCATCGTCTTGTGAGGCGAGATCAACAGTGAATAAATCCTCATAACGTTGATACCATGTGTCAAAAGTGACAATAGCCTCTGGGTTATAATTGAACTGTGAAATACTGTTCACAATTCCGTCGACAGATGGTAGCATGGTATGATTGGGATTGCTTGAAGGTGAAGCTGGATCAGTCTGTTGGTTGACGAACATTTCCATTAATTTCATTTGTTGTTTAAATAGTAATTCCAATTTAGAATGAACCATAGTAAATTGTTATGTTGCTGCTGCTGAGTGGTTAATAATAGTTTTCTCCGTCGCCAAATTGTTATGTACTCGTCGCTAAATTATTGTTATGGACTGGTCGAGAAACTAATAGTCCTGACGCAAGAAGGCGGAAATCAGAAGACCACTAGGTTTGCGATGATACTTCTATTTTCCATACACAAGGAGAAGCAACAAGTGGTATCACACCAAAGTAAAGTAAGTGTAAGTCACACAAATTGTGAGAACGAAATATATATATAGCAAAATATAGCAGACATGTCAACAAACACCATATATGGATATATGTCACCAGGCAACGGACTGTCAACAAACACTCATGTTATATATAATATGATATAAGGGGAATATACATTGTTAAAGGAGACAAGTTCATACAAGTGAAATGGTCACAGACTAAGAGAGCAAACAGAAAGAGAGACCAACATACACACACACACATAAATATATATATATATATATGGATACATATCATTGACCAATCACATTTTAGTAAGTCATGAAATCTAGGGTAGACGATGGTAGAAATTCACTGTTTTTTTGTATAAATTATCCGGTAAGCATATTATCAATCCAAATTGCTTTCTTGAATAACCTCGAGTTAAAATATGACTAAATATTAGTAAAACCGTTATTACGACAGATGAAATTAGACTTCTATTCAGATTAAGCACTTCTGGGTTTTCTATGTGACATTTAGGTACATGTTCTTTCCTATGACTAACTGGTTTCAACATAGAACTTCGCAATGATGTGCACCAACCAGTTCAAGTTGTCACACTCCCTCTCCTTGTAGCACACAAAGCAAGAGAAGAAAGTAAAAGGAAATGCAAACTAGAGACAATAAACAGATATATGAGGCAAAAAGGATAGTAATATAGAAGAACAATATAGTTTTACTAGGTATTATAAGACACAAGGAGTGGATGCATTGAGAACGATTTCGAGGCATATCACCAATTGTCTCAAACCATTGGTGTTTACCGTCCCGAGGACCCCAACCAGTCAGGAAGTCTACATCTTCCTATGTGGCTGGATGGTTCAAACTAACTGTTGGGGATTTCATTGACTAATGAAGCCATGTTTTGGTTTGACCGCTGCTAGCTCTTTCCCAACCTGACCCTATGTCAGCTAACATCGCCCGTCGGTCGAGGAAGGCGATGGCTAGTGATGCATGCGTAACACATGTCCTAACCATCTCAGTCGATGTAGCTTCACAGCCTTGTCTATTGGCTTTCCCTCCTTACCTAGAACTCGACGTCTAACCTCAATATTGCTCACCCATATTATACTACTTCACACAGGAGATATAACGCAGGCACCTGTGATCAAAGACAGCTAGCGAAGTTCTGTATGTCTTCCACTTTCAATGGCCAGGTCTCACAGTCATAGAGGAAGAAGGAGAGGACTGCCAAGCTGCACATACGTCCTTTGGTCGACAGCCAATCGGATATCACGTCTACTCCAGATACAGCGTGAATTGGCATATGCGAAACTAACCTTCTGTATTCAAGCTGAGATTTCGTCAGTGATCAACCCGCTGGTATTGGCTGATGCAACTTCCCAAATAAGTGAAATGGTCAACACGCTCTTCCACTTCACTCCCTATTTCCAAGCTAGGAGTGAGTCAATGCAGTGCAGTTCTGTAGCATCATCTTTCCTATGACATTGAAACAGTATTGATTATATATATGACAATAAAGAGAATCTGTCCCCGGTAAAAATACAGCTGATTTAACAAAATGAAAGCTATCTTTATTCAACTTCCATAAAACAGGTGATTTTTGAACCAGCAAATGAATAAATACTCTCAAGTGTAATGTCAGTGTTGTGCTACTAACTACTTAGGAAAAGAATGACAAGTACACATATAGCTTATCATCAATCAACACATACATATATATATTCACATACTTGTTAGCTTCTCCATCACTCGACTGTGAATGGCTGGTTTTCTTTCGTTGAGTTTTTGGTCGAACTGTTAATATTGAAAATAAGTAAAAAGTGTGCGCATAGTTGTCTTACCTCGAATTCCAGTCTAAAAATAAAACAAGGGAAAATCACATAAGATTATGTATGTATACATAACTTTTTTTAATGGAAAATGTATATCAGACAGAGAAATCCTACCAAGTGTTCCTCATAATGAAACTGAATGCAACTAAATAAAATGGGGCCACACAAATATAACAATGTAAGGAAAACAGAGCAGTTAAGGAACAAAAGACTACGAACAGATCAGCAAGCTTATCACGAACATTCGAGACAGAGTTCTGTTGTGAACTTTTCCTATAATACGTATCTAATCGTATTCATATCTCTGTGCGTCGGTGGCACAGTGGTTAGGACTCTCGCCGACCGTACACATGGTCCGGGGTTCGAGCCCGCACCGACGCACATCTGATATCTATGGTCGGCCTGCAAAATTTGGGCTACCGATATCCATGCTGAAAATTCCATACTTGTACCGAAAATACAGTGTGGAATCAAGCTGTAAATCAAAAATAAAATAAATAAATAAAAAAAATATAACCACTATTAACACTCTTTTTTCCTTTATATGTTTAAGCCATTCCGGCTTCATTGTAAAATGAATAAAGCCTAAATTCTTGGTTCATTCGTCTTTTCAAGATTCAAGCATCACTCATCGTTCTAAGACTCAATCACCTTCGTAACAATTTATTCATTTTACAATATTCATGGAACGATTTTTCCGACCTGATCGGTTCGACGTAGAACCTAACGCAGTTGGAGCTGCCAAGAAGTGGGATCACTGGTTTGCGACTTTTTCCTACTTCATTGAATCAATGGGATCCGAAAATCCTTCGAAACTACATATTCTCTTCAATCATATTTCTACTTCTGTATACGAATGCATTTCTGAATGCAAAACATACGAAGAAGCTATCGACACTCTCAAGAGTCTCTACATGCAGCCTTGCAACGAAGTGTTTGCTCGACACTTGTTAGCAACGTGTAAACAAGAATCTGGCGAAAATCTGGATCAGTTTGTTCGTCGACTCAAGTCGCTGACTACAGATTGTTCATTCAGGGCAGTTACAGCCGAAGAACATCGTAACGAATCTCTACGTGATTCATTCATCTCAGGTATACAGTCTTCGATGATACGCCAGAGGCTATTAGAACAGCGTACTTTAACTTTTCAAGCGGCATACGATCAAGCACGAGCTCTAGAGATGGCACATCAACAATCGCAGTCATACAACAATCCTGTTACACCTTGCGCGTCCATTTCTTTACATGATGTACCTCATTCATCAGATTCCACACCCTCCGTCAATGAAACAACCATTGCTGCCGTTGAATCCAAATGCTTTTTCTGTGGTAATCGTAGACATCCTCGTTCCAAATGCCCCGCCCGTGATGCAGTTTGCAAAGCTTGTGGCAAGCAAGGACATTTTCAGAAGGTTTGCAGGTCTGCGCCATCTACGAAAAAAGGTCCATCTTCAGTTAACTCTATAATTTCATCTCTCGTTGTGGCTTCAGCACCTCAAAGTCTCACTGATGCTGTTACGCAGCTTACTGTCAATGGGAAATCAATGCAAGCTCTAGTGGATACCGGAAGCAGTGAGAGCTACATCTCTTCCTCAGTTGTTCGTAAGTATAACTGGAAAGTCCATAAGTCTCGAAACAGAATCACAATGGCGAGTACGAATCTTACTAGTCATACTGAAGGACATTGTTTTCTATCCATCTGCTATAAAAACCACACTTATGATCTATTCAAATTTTCCATTCTTCATAATTTATGTGCAGACGTCCTTCTTGGACATGATTTTTTAAAACTTCACAAACACATTGAGATTCCTTTTGGGGGATCAAAGCCGCCTTTTTCTCTCTGTGGTCTACCTTGTGTTCGCGTCGACCTGCCTACTCTGTTTGAAAATCTTTCAAAAGACTGTAAACCGATCGCGATAAAATCCCGGCGTTATTCTCGTGAAGATGAAAGTTTTATTTCCACCGAAGTCAACCGGTTACTGCAAGAAGGTGTTATTGAACCTTCTAATTCTCCTTGGCGAGCTCAAGTTCTTGTTACGTCAAACGAACGCCATAAAAAGAGGATGGTAGTTGATTATAGTCAGACAATCAATCGATTCACTTTTCTGGATGCTTACCCATTACCTAGGATTGACGAAATGATAGAAAAAATCGCACAATATGACATATTCAGCACTCTTGATCTGAAGAATGCTTATCATCAAATTGCCCTAAGGAACGAAGATAAACCATATACTGCTTTCGAGGCTTGTGGGAAACTTTACCAATTTTGCCGAATTCCTTTTGGTGTTACCAATGGCGTAGCTTGTTTTCAACGCATTATCGATGAATTGATCAGTAAAGAACAACTCACAAGCACGTTTGCCTACATTGACAATGTCACTATCTGCGGCAAAACTCAGGAGGAACACGACAAAAATCTAAACAAGTTTATGGTAGCAGCACGCAATTATGGAATAACCCTTAATGATTCCAAAAGTGTGATCTCAAGCAGAAGCATACAATTACTCGGTTATGAAGTTTCAAAGGGGGTTATTAAACCAGATCCCGATCGGCTAAAACCTCTTCGTGATCTAGAACCACCCACAGATATCAAATCTCAACAACGGGCCGTTGGATTATTTGCTTATTATTCACAGTGGATCCCTCGCTTCTCAGATAAAATCCACCCATTGGTAAATAATCGGATTTTCCCTCTTGATATCGAAACTCGAAATGCTTTTGACAAACTGAAAGACGACTTAGAACGTGCAGTCGTTGTGGTAGTTGATCCGAAAGCACCCCTTGTTGTTGAAACAGATGCTTCAGATGTCTCAATTGCAGCTACATTAAACCAGAATGGTAAACCTGTCGCCTTCTTTTACTTACTTATTTTACTTTACTTCGGCTATCTCCTACGGGAGGATGAGCCGGCTTCATGAACGTCTCGAATCATCGCTGCCCAGGCGCGGCAATTTGTAAGAGAGTTCATGAAGTTTCATGGGAATTTTGTACGAGTGATGTCCCCAGCATTGCTCGGCCTTTTGTTTGAGAGTGCAGCTCTAGCCTTTACACAGCCAAGTGTGACCTACAAGGCAGTAGGAGTGGAGTAAGGAGTCCACTATCCATTGGCAGCCGGTGACCGGAGTTCGGTTCATACGCCTTTTTGAATGGGGCCAGACATCCAGGACATCCAACAAGCCCTTTGTCCATACGTCTGCCGGTGAGCTCCAGTGAGCTTCATACGCCAGTCGTTGGAGGTTTGGAATCAGGGTTTAGCCATCTCCCCTAGACCGTCATCCAATGGACAGTCAACCCGGTGGAGAGCGCCGGGCATCCGCTTTCGCCCTCTCACTTTGGTGAGAAACACCTCCGCCACGTGAAGGCAGTGAGTAGGACTCCCTCAGGAGAGGCCTTCTTTTCTCGAAGTGAGAAACATCATTCATCGGTTGAGAAAGAAGCCTATGCTGTGGTTGAAGCAATTCGTAAGTGGAAGCATTACCTTCTCGGAAATCACTTCAAACTTGTCACTGATCAACGTTCAGTAGCATTCATGTTTGACAAGATTCATAAAGGCAAAATCAAGAACGATAAAATAATGCGTTGGAGAATTGAACTATCCCCTTATCAATATGACATCATTTATCGCCCTGGAAGGGATAATCAAGCTGCTGATACATTTTCCCGTAGTTTCTGCGGTTCCTTGCAGTCAGTGTGCGACTTAAAATTTCTCCATGACTCTATGTGCCATCCCGGAGTTGTCCGAATGATGCATTTTGTACGCTCGAGAAACCTCCCATTCTTCCTTGACGAGGTGCGCAATGTAACCAGTTAATGCGTGACATGCTGTGAGTTAAAGCCTCAATTTTACAATCCCTCTAATTTCAAACTCATAAAAGCAACCCCACCTTTTGAAAGGTTAAGCATCGACTTTAAAGGACCTCTACCGTCAGCTAGCCTCAATCACTATCTGCTCACGCTGATCGATGAATATTCTCGATTCCCCTTTTGCATTCGCCTGCCCCGACATGTCGTCTCAAACAGTAATGAATTGCCTTTGCCAGCTGTTTTCGATTTTCGGTATGCCTTCTTACATACATACCGACAGAGGCGCTGCTTTCATGTCTACCGAATTACGGGCATTTCTTCTGGAGAAAGGCGTAGCAACCAATCGTACTACCTCATACAATCCTCAAGCCAATGGGCAGGTTGAGCGCCTCAATGGAACACTTTGGCGTGCCATCACTCTAGCATTAAGATCACGGGGTCTACCAACGGCACAATGGGAGTCTGTTCTACTCGACGCCTTGCATTCCATCAGATCTTTGCTCTGTACTGCAACCAACGCCACGCCACACGAACGACTGTTTACCTATAACCGAAGATCGACATCTGGGACAACTCTTCCTACTTGGCTCACTGTACCAGGACCAGTACTTCTCCGGCGGAGTGTTCGTCAGTTCAAATTCGATCCCCTGGTCGAAGAGATGGAGCTATTGAATTGTAACCCGCAATTTGTTCACGTTCGCTTGGGTAATGGACGTGAAGATACAGTTGCTCTTCATCATCTGGCACCCAAAGGCGAAGATATTGATCGAGTTGAAAATTCAATACCGGAGGGCGACGCAATTCCTGAGCGACAAGTAAATGGGAATGCGACCACTGATCCTAATACTCTTCGCGAAGAAAATACAACTGAAACAAACAACGGGTGTATTCTTTTGGAAAAACAACAACATGTACGGCCTTACAATTTGCGTATCAGAGAAGCGTGACATAATGGCTCATTCCTTCTCAAGCCGCAGTGAATGTTGTGAACTTTTCTTATAATACGTATCTAATCATATTCATATCTCTACCACTATTAACACTCTTTTTTCCCTTTATATGTTTAAGCCATTCCGGCTTCATTGTAAAATGAATAAAGCCTAAATTCTTGGTTCATTCGTCTTTTCAAGAGTCAAGAATCACTCATCGTTCTAAGACTCAGTCACCTTCGTAACCAGTTCATTTTACGTCACATTACTTTAAGAAAAGGAAGCGAAGTGTTGCATGTCCACCATATATCTCATAACTTCTTGAGACGCTCAGTTGCATAACCTATTGGACCTAATCAGGCAGTCATGTGACTTCAACAAACGCGAGAAAACCGGGTAGGCTTTGGACCGGGGATATCAACTGTTCCCATTTTTGTTTAACTTTATCATAGATGCAAAAATCGAAATGAACCTGAGTGATCTCAGTAAATGATGGATTGACTTGTTTCCAGAGTATAGTCTTGTATTACGATGATACTGTCCTCCTAAGTGTAGAGGTTGACGATGTGCAGTCTTCTAAATACCTTCAGAAGTTTTGCATACCATTCACTTCTGTCAAACGTAAGATGATGCTGCAAGACTGGGCTGAAGACTTCTAGTTTAAAGATAAACAACAAAGTGGATGAGCGTGTTGAGCACTTCACTTATGTTGGGAAGTTGCGTTAGCCCTAATGGACTGATTGTTGACGATTTCTCAGCACCGACACAAAAGATTCGTGTAGCATTTGCACGCTTAAATCACCTCTAGCGTAAAAGTGACACCTGGATATCGATCGAAGAACGTGTGTACTGTGCAGCAGTTCGCCCTGTCCTCCTTTATGGTAGTGAAACATGTTTATTGAAAGTGGAAGATATGAAAAAAGACTAGCTGTCTTTGACACATTTTGAGTTTTCCTTTAAGTGTTAAATAGTCTAATATGGTGAACAATATTGAGATGAGGTCACAGAATCTTAACTATTTGGGCTGAATTTTACCTAGAGACCAGAAACTATTCTATGCATAACCACTTTCCAGGACCCATCAGAAAGTTACGATATGACCCAATCACCCTCGTTTGGTCCTGATATCAGTCTGATCCCAGAAGTTTGTCTACAGTCTCGCTTTGTCTTTAAGTAACCGCACACTTCAAATTCCTACACAAAAGATCTTTGTTCCACTCCTTGTAAACTGAGATGATTAGTGACCCAACCGTTGCTTACAACAACGCATGAATTCGAGTACACTATTATGTGAGTCAACCTAACTAAATATTCTTTAAATCGTCCCTGACAACTTTTGGATTTGTCACACTCGGCTTTTCTAATCTGCCTCACTAAGGTTAGCCTAAGCCTTCGGTAAGTGAGAGATGTGAAAGTTCAAGTCAGCAGAACTGCTGTACAAAGTGTTTCATGTAACATCTCAGCAGTCTGTTCGGCGAAGTCTCAACTTCGTTACAAGTCATTAAACTAAAATGATTGTCATTTTTATGCATCTAAACAGCTGATATGAATTGTCTTTCATTGATACATTTTCTATTCCCTTTGCTTTCGTCATCTGCTATCGTTTGTGGTTATTAAGAAGACCTCTGATCAGTTCACGGCTATTACGCTTTCGCCTTCTCTTGTGTTCGGAAGGGAAAGGAATCCATTTGAACGTGTCAAATAGTTTGAATAAAGCAGCGAAGCCTCCTGCTTACATTTTGTCTGTAGTTTACCAAGTGCCTACACCAATATTTCAACAGAAGACTAATTGTAGTAAGACACTTATTTAAGATGAGTGTTACCAAAATGTTCAGGTAAATTATTATTCAAACCATTTACTAAACATAAACAGGACATCTTAATCAGTAGGCTAGGCGCTCCATGGCTTTATAATCACAGGTGACCAGATTTGAAGACCGATAAATAGTCCGTTAATGCCATCCTCATGAAGCAGTTTAATTCCTTGCTGTTTCATAAAAGAAGGAGATTTTCGATGTTTGTAGCTCAACTTTTCCTAACGTTCATTCAGATATTTCGATATGAAGTTCAACAGCTTACGTGGGCATAAAATAACGTCCAAATTCGAAGTATATTTGTCTGACGTATTGGAATTAGACAGGTTAGTGTCCACTAAAATCATTTCATTTTAAAGTACTAGTGCCCTACCAGTAAGCATTCAAAAGTTCAGAAAGCGTTTAACAGGTCGAGTTGGTCTTCTGGGTGCAAACACGCTTTTAAGGAGATTAACACTATACGCATATACGTGCACCACAAACTTCGGTGCACTTGGTGAAATAACTCGGTCTCAAGATATTTGGCACATAAAGCGTGATTACAAACCGAAGACCAAAATAATAAATGGAGAGAAAAGAGCGGACAATACAACCCGCGAGTTATTATCACAGCCTAAGTATTGACACAAGGAAAAGGTTACCACAATAAATTTAATCATGAGTAAGTGGTCGTGTCAATGAATGAGCATAAAATATGCATCTTCATCAGCTTATGTAACGTAATTTATTCTTTTCACCAAGACTTTATTATAATCACTGTTTTCTCTTGCACGACTGCAAGTACCATTTCACTAAGATGAAATGGAATCATGAGATAGTTGGCGGACAGTTTTTACGATGCTTTGATTATGCTTACTACTGAGTAACCGATGTACCTAACAATGAGTAGTAATCCTAGTCTACCATAGTGCTGAAACAACTATAAAAAACGGTTAACAACAATATTTGGGACAAGTGTATTCAAAAAAGAAATCGAATGATTGTGTTAAAATGATACTAGACTTCCTAGCATTTAAACGTACTTTTATATTATGAATATCTAATTTAATCAACCTTTTTTTAAAACTGCTATTTAAAAAAACCAATAAGCACTTACGACGGCTTTTGTTATTGCATCTAAAGAATCATATTCTACGGCTATATTCTTTCCATAATCGTAACGAGCTAAAACTTCTGCCCTAGAATAACGCAGGCGCTGTCCAACTGGCTTGGTAACTATATCCCCCGTACGAGATTGCATCCTGATAGCAAACAAAAGTTCCAACCCAACCACTTTCAAACACAGCGCTGAAAATCCCTCGCGTAATACGCAATATACAATATCCAATACCGTTCACCTTCACGAATTCCCGGATTTCGTCTAACGAAAGAAGGTTCATAACATATCTTTTTGTCTGTCAGACTTATCGCACGAAATTTTCTAGTTTCTCACAAATGAGAGTGAATTTGCGTTTTTCGGTGGCACATATCCTCAAGTTGCAAAAAGGATTATTATGATGAGTGTTGTCTCTACTTTTTCAAGTATGATTACATATATAACGAAGTGAAGTCAGATCTCATTAGCCTGACCGCTATGCCAGATTCCTCTAGAGTGGTGTTTATTTGTCTCTATTGAAACACGTCTTAAACACGTTCATGGCTGTAGGCGAGATTCACATAGGCTCTTCATTATCATATGCAACATAATATTTACTTACCCTTGTGCTTAAAAACATTTGTTGTGATTATGGAAATTTTGTGTATGCATGCAGGTTAGTTCTCATTGCACCCATCATAAATCAAGTGATTCCTATCACTGTACATGTTCCCTGTACTGCTTTAAAATGTATTAATTTTCGGTTTTCTATTTTCCACCTTCCTCATACTTTATTTATGTCCTGATTTTACCATTGCGTTTGGTAAATTTTTCTTGACGAGTTTCTTATCCATTTCTGTCTTCTTTTCTAGGTATAACAGGTACTGGACTAGAAGCAAACAGAGCACCAGTTACAACGGACTAATATCAACGAAGCGATGAACAAATGCGGCAATATCACAAGCCGACGAGCAATGGACAACTCACTACCATCACTCCCACGATTAGCTGTCTAATTCCATCCGGTTTTGTCCTTGGGTCCTTGTGATACCACTATGGGGGCTGGAAGGTTGTTGAGGTAAATAATTCCCCAAGATTATAGACTACAACAGTCCTCACCCAACATTCAATGCTGACATTGACTATTAAAGTCAACTCCCTAAGATGAAGGTATACTGTTAAGCATCCATGCCATTGAGTACGCTGTTGTGTCGCGTTTGGTCGTCCGTGAACAATCCATGACTACCTCAACAATCATCAAAGAACGATTCTTATCCCAAGATAAACCTAGCATTTTGGGTGCGCAATTCGGTGTTTTGATTTGTTTCTAGTCTAAGTAGAGCAAATATTACAGTAAAAGGATGGCAAGCACTTTTGTTGGTATTCAGAGTACTTTGCGAAAACGCTGGCATCCATTCTCTTCTCCGATTTACTGAGTAAATACGTGATTTTACTTCAGTTTGCAATCGGTCACATTATCCGTTTTCTTCTATTCTGACGTAGTGTTAAAGACTTGTTTGACGTGATTCTGATGAGTTTCTTCTCCTCGACTAGGCATTGCAGTATCTTAAAGAAATGCCTAAACAAAATCCACTTCAAGCAAAGTATCACAAGTGAAACGCTGGAATACAGGCGAAGCTTTGAGTATGCAGAATAATATGCAGAGGAACTTGAAAAAACAAAAATTCAAATGAGTGAGGTCTTCGAGATATCATCGTGGTGCACTGAAGCTTAATGACAGATTGATTGAATGCAAGGCTTATTCAGGTCATCTAATTGTAGAGCCGAACAACAATGTGGTACAGTTTCATTGCTGAAAATAAGGCCTCCATATGCAGATTTTTATATAATGGGATATTAGATGATCTGATAGTCTCATCTCGGGCATACGTTCGAAATGACAATTGATGGTCAAAAGTTTTTCTGGAGATAGCCATCATGATGAAATGCAAAACTCCAGAGGTCAAACAACGTACAACAAGTACGCGTTAGAAATCTCCTTAAAGTAATGGATATCAGAGGCGTAGAGACCTGGAGTATCAGACGTGGTATACAGTGGCCTGAGAGAAGGCTTTTGTGTGATAAAACAGTAGGCTGAGAGTTATATGCAAGAATCGATCCATTTATGCTTGCAAGAATCAGCGAACAATAATCAGCTGTGCGAGAGCTATACAATAACAGCAGTGTTAGAATCAACCAAGATGGAAAAAACAGGATGGAAGACAAAAGTTTCAACTCAATTTTAAAGGCGATATTATTGCAGATATAGTAAACGGGAGTCTCAATAACTTGCTAGCAAGAACATATCCTGAGGCTAAGTTAGTCCCCATTTATCGAACGGCGTTCTTTCAGGTGCAATAAAACGTTGAATGATGCCGTTTATGTTCGCTATAATCGGCTGCAAAAATTTGCATGTTCCTGCAGTAGCGGTTACATTGGGAGAGCAGAAAGAATACAATACTCTTGTCTCTTTGGATACGGGTTTGAAAGTCCACGTCTGAAGTGAATGAGTGCTTTCACTAGTGCCACTGCTAGACATCTCGTCAATGTAGGTCATGTATCGGACATCATGAAATCGATAAAATTACCATAAGATGGAATGATCAAATTGTCCTGAAGTTTACCGAAGAAATTGATATCAGAGGTCTAAAACCCGATTTATGCACTTAGGAAGAAGAAGATATGTGGTGGACCTTTTCACTCTATTAGCTTAGTTACCCAAATTCAAGTAGAAAATAAAATACCAAATGAGTTTAGTTACGGGAAGAATGTATTAAAGTTTGATTACTTGAGTTTACAAAGATCCAACTTCCACAATAAACGTTATAGACTCCAGGTGCTGCGGAAAGACTGCTCCAGTAGTAATTCTCCAATGTTAACGTTGCCGGAGGTCGACCAAAGTACGTAGGAAGAAACTACGGTGCTCCTGCAAAAATCAGAGATAGAAAGCAGGTGATTAGGATTGATCGACGGCAGTTGAGATGGTGGAGAAGACGGGGAGTCGAAGGCACAGCTGTATATTTATTCAAAACCCGAGGTAAAGTCAAAGTACAGAGTTTCTGGTTAAAACAAAGTGGTGTACAATATGTTCATTATTTACATAGTAGTAAAATTTGGATAAGTTGATTTTTGAGGACTCCACAGATATCTGCCATTGTTTCCACTGGTACCTGAATGTTTTCACTGTCTCTTTCACTCACGTATCCTCTGGCTTTAATCTGTCCCCATTTCACCACAATATAATTCTGTTAGTATCGTGTTTCTCTGACTTGGGATAAATAATTTTCTGGTTACTGAACGAATCAGCTACACATCTTGCGATTCACCCCTTGTTTTTATTACACGACGCCTCTGCCGTTTAACTGAAACATTTATCTTTTTTACTTAAACACTAACATATTAAGTTTAGAGTCCCCTGTCAACTCGTATCATGCAAAATTTGCAAATATTCGAAAATTGTTCAGCATATAAACCCGATAAATTCTTTAACCTGCACGGAAGTGATGAAAACAGGATGAAGCAAATAGCGCAAAACTCTTATTATGGATAAACAGTAATGTCCGTAATAAACAGATTCATGAAATAAAATGCATCTATAGAGGCCGGGGCAGTGGGAGTAAAAGGATAATATGAGGTTTCCTAACGCGAAATCTTGTAAACACAAATCCTATAGTGTTTGTTCCGCGTAGATCAAATGTCGCGGAATATACCCTTCAGTTCTTACTATTATAAACACGCTCCGCACCAATAAATACCATGTATTTTCTTCGAATTTAACTCCAAAACACCAGTATTGTAGGAAGGAAGTTATATTGTTTGGCTATCTAAGCGGAGAACAGTAAAAGTCTATAAAAAATGTTTTATACAAAACTATGAAATACTTTTATTCGTTTCTGGTCTTCCTCGTCGAACATGTACACGATCAAACCATTCGCGCCTTCGAGTTCCCCACCAATGGCTACCAGTTCCAAAAACAAGCGTTCACTGTTCACCTCCACTTGCATCAAAGACTAAGCAAAATACAAAGTCGGTCGTTCAAAATACGAGATATACATTGGGATTAGAATCGTAATGTGATCATGATTCTTCAGGGTTTAGAGACTGACGGTATCGACGTTCGCGGATTATACTGACTATACTAACACTAGCTGATCACTAGATATGGTGTTGGTCACTAAAGTGAGTCGCCCCATTCTGCAGGAACAGCAATATGCAATTTGACGGCTCGAGATATTTCTGATTTTTATGAGGGCTTAGATTTTTATCTTGAAAAAGATAATAACGAATGCCTAAACAGATCATGCTTCTGCCTTTAAACATATACAATTTGCTCGGCCTATCGTTGAGATGCGACCACGTGGGCTCTTCAAAGATTTATGAGGCATCTTATAAACTAACTTGCTTTCCATTGTCGGATCTTTAAATACCACTTCACAATGTCTTATCTCATTCATTTTCTAATAATGTCTTTACTTGATCCTCATTATATTCCATTAAACCTGACATTTTATAGGTCTTTTTGAAATCGATTCTACTCATTCTATTCCTATTCTCTGTAGGGTACGGTTGTGCACCAAATAGAAAAGAAGGTATGAAATAAAAACAACCGGCTTGAGAATAATTGTATTGAAGCCAAAAGTGGACATCATGATAGTAAGACCTATATGCGTAGCATTATACATTGCAAATGAACGTTGTCAGCCTAGGGATCATAGTTTCCCATTGTATTTCCTTTATTAATGCATTTATTAATGATACTCCCACTTACTTATTTCATTACACTTTAATGATTCACCTTAGCACTTTAACTTTTCTAAAACAGCTTTCAATTCCATGTAAACGTTGTACTTGCCTCAATATTGGTTGGTTATCGTAGGCCTACAACCACGGGATGAAAACGAAACGAAGTCGATTTTTCCGCGCTACCTGGAGGACAACTGTACAATTCAATAACAATACGACCTGGTGCAGACAATGAGTGTATTTATATATATATATATATCAAATATTTGGCTGTTGAAGCATTATTAACTTGTAGACAATCTACGATTTGAGACTATATCACACTTGATCGTACCTGTAAAAATGGCATGCATTTTCATGTAAATTTATATGTTTATATGAAATATATATTATTATTACCAACAACTTCTAAAGTATTCGTTTCTCGTGGACCAAAGACAAAGCAAAACAACGGGATTGGTTGACCAAATTACGAGATATATTCCGTTACCGAATC